TGCAACAGGGACAGCAACAAGAAACAGATTTGGGAGGGCCTGATGTTATTAATTACAGTAGCTAGGTAGGCAATCCCTGATAATGCTGCCTGCCTTGAAAATTAAGTTCCTGTGAAGTAATTCAAGATTGAAATGAAGGTCAGACAAGGCAAAGGGCTGCTTCAAGCTAAGAGCAGAAACAGATTCCTCCTCATTCAAGGCAGAGCTTGGATCAGTAACCCCCCTGGGACTGTCTGTCACTGGAGTGAGGCTGTGTGGATCTTTCTTGTTTAATGAAAACTGCTAATTGTCCTATTATTTATCCCTGACACTGTCCAAGGATCTTCTGAATCTCAAATCTCAAAGACTGAGGTCTGTTCATTTTTCATGAACAATAATCCCACAATACTTTCCAACTGCGGATTAGCCTGGTGTGTTTGGATTAAATTTCATAGTACATATCTTAATACAAATAAYATATCATATCTCATATATAATAATATATCATATAGTCATATGAATTAAGAAGACTTTAAAAAAAAAGTCTTTTCAAATAAAAAWTTTTATTTGGTAGAGTTTCTTTGGGAAGGAAAAGGAAATTCAAAAGGAAGGGAAGGGAGAACATTGGGTTTGGTCAGAATCAGGGAAGTTTGTGCTACCTTGAGGCTCACAAAGTAAGATTTCAGTAAATACTTTGTTCCATTCTTGGATGTTCATTATTTTCATGAGACCATTGTTGCCTCTGCTGTAGTGAACAAGAGAGACTCTGAGAACCAAGCAGAGCAGAGGAGGGACCCCTGCAGCGCAGGGAGGTGCCAGGAGGGCAGCATAGGGCAGCAGCTCTCACTTTTTCCCTGGGAACAGCCTGAAAGGCTTCCCCTCTGCACCCACCAACGAAGTGCTCGCAGAGGAGGGCACGCAGCCCACGCAGCAAACAGGGTGAACCCGAGCTCTGTGTGCAGCTGCAGGGCCGAACTCTCCCTGAGGATGCAGTAGGGCAGTGCACTCAGTGCAGCGCTGCCACGGCTGGCTGCGAGCTCCTGGGGATGCACAGGCCGGCAGCAAGGAGAGGGACCTGCCCAGCACGTCAGACAGCAGCCAGCCTGGATGGAGCCTGCTCTGGGATGGGGGAGAAGCCAGGTGAGAGCTGGGGGGATGCTCTGCTGGGCCTCATGCTTACAAACAATTGAGAACTGATCAGGGAGGTGAAGGCTGGGGGCAGTCTTGGCTGCAGTGACCATGAAATGATGCTATTCAGGATGATGAAAGGAGGAAAAAAAAAAAAGCAAAAAGCAGAATCACAACTCTGGACTTCAGGAAAACAGACTTTGACCTGCTCAGGAACCTGCCTGGAATGGGATGCCATTCTGGAGAGAAGAGGGAGACAGTTCAGCTAGTTGATTTTCAAGGATCATCTCTTTTGAATTCAGGAACTGGCCATCTGCACATGCAGGAAATCAGACAGAGTTGTCAAAATGCCTGCATGGATGAACAAAGAGCTCCTGAATAAACTCAGACACAAAAAGGAAGTGTAACAGAGGCTGAGGCTGAGACAGGTTACGCAGGAAGGATATAGAGTATTGGGAAAGCAGGCAAGGATGGGGATTAGGAAGGCCAAAGCTCACCAGGAGCTGAATCTGGCAAGAGATATGAAGCATAACAAGAAGGGCTTCCACAAGTCTATCAGCAGCAAAAGGAAGAGTAGGGAAAATAGGGAACTACTGCTGAATGGGAATACGGTCTTAATGACAAAGGACAAGGAGACGGCCAGGGTACTCTTCGCCTTGCTCTTTACTAACAAGACCAGTCTTATTCCAGGTATCCCCGTTTCTTGAGAGTGACAGGAAAACGTGGAGCAAGGAAGATTTACCCACTGTGGAAGAGGAGACACTGGAATGACAGGCACAAGTGCATGCAGGCGGCTGGGTTGCACTTAGGGGGCTGGCCCAGGTCACTCCCTACTGCCTTTGAAGGGCCGTGGTGATGGAGGAAGGTTCCTGAGGAGCACAAGGAAGTGTCACTCCTGTCTTCACAAAGAGCCAGGAGGAGCTGGGGAACTACGGGTGAGAGCCTCATCTCAACCCCTGGAAAGATAATGGAGCAAATAATTCTGGATGTGAATATATGAAGGACAAGAGGTTGTGTGGAAGAGTCAGTATAGATTTACAAAGGGGAAATGGTGCTTAGCTGACTTGGTAGCTTTCTGCAGTGAAGTGATTAGCATGTTGGGCAAGAGAAGAGTAGCTGATGAAACTGTTTATCTTGACTTTAGCAGGGCTTTCAGCACAGTCTCCCATAACATTCTCTTTGTCAGACTGATGAAGTATGGACGAGATAAGCAGACTGCGAGGTGGACTGAAAACAGGCCCAACTGCCAGGCTCGATCGCAGGCGGGGAGTCCCTCTGGAGGTCGGTTACTAGCCGTGCAGCCCAGGGAGGGATGCTGGGCTGTTCCACAGCCTTGTGAGTGACCTGCGTGTGGGGCCTGAACGCACCCGCGGCAAGTTTGCAGGTGATACAAAACTGGCAGGAGTGGCTCGTGCCACCAGTGCAAAGTGACCGCAACAGGTTGGAGAAAGGGGCCCCCAGGAATCTCAGGAAGGTCAAGAGAAATGCAAAGTCCTGCACCAGAGGAGGAATAACCTTATGCCCCAGCAGAGGCTGGAAAGCAGTTKTGCCCACCAGCAGAGGTGATGGTCTTACAAGCTGAGGAGAAGCTACTGATGTGCTCTTATGAGGAAATCTTGGAGCTTCCATCAGCTCCATCAGGAGCTTCCAAGAACACCAACAGCTTCTCAGGCTGCATTCGGAAGAATGTTGCCAGTGGGCCAAGAGAGGGGACTAGTCTCCTYTTCTCAGTGTATGGWCTTAKCTTGTAAGTGCTGTGCCCAGTTCTGGGATCCCCRGGATAAGAAAGACATGGCCRCACTGGAGCAAGTCCAGCAGAGTGACATAGAGAGGACTGATGGACTGGAGCATCCTCCATATGAGGACAGCCTGAAAGAGACGGAATTATTTATCCTGGAAGAGAGAAGACTCAGGCGTCCTACCGACATGTATAAATACTTGATGGGGCACAGCAGATGGACCCAAACTCTTCCTGGTGGCATGTGCTCACAGACAGAGGACAACAGGCACAATCTGAAATATGGGAAATTCTATTTAAACCTAAGAAGAACTTTTTTACTGTGAGGATGATCAAACACTGGATGTGGCTGTTGCATTGTTGGACTAGATGATCTTCACAAGGGCCTCCCAGGCCCGGCAATTCTGTGTCCTGCCTTTTCAGGCCTCCAAAGCTGATTGTTGGCTCGAAACCCAGCCCACTGCTTGCACACCCATGCATACAGGCAGGCAGTATCAAGGACTATCCATACACTTAAATTGCCTGTATGCTCTGCATGTCTCCCTTCTCTTGCTCAGCTTACATTTCTAACATAGTTACTGTCTTTGATTTTTTTCTTTAAGAATATGAGATTCTTTGTAGGTTAACTCACCATCTTCTCCAGAAATACTTCAACTTGCACACTGACTTTTTTACAGTTTTAAGAAAGCTGTTCAGTTCAGCACCAGCAAAACTGTTCAGTGGTTTTGTAATGAGAAAGGGATCTAGCAAAGGAGTGAGGAACTGGAGCCACCCCTAAAATGGAAAGAAGAGTCACAGTTAAACAGAACACAATTACATTTATACTAACTTTGTTTCATATATGTGGAGAACAATTATTAAGAAATAAAGATGATTTGGGAGAAAATGCTTTCACAAAAGCAATACTAATATATATGATATCAAAGAAACTATTAAGTATTCAAGATCTAAAGTTGGCAATGTCTTTTGAATGGATCACAAAAAGAAGCAGATACCTATGTTCCTTTGTCAAACTATTAACAAGAAAGTCATTACAAATACTGGAAAAATAATATTTATGATAATATTAAGAAAATAATTGTTATATCAAAGCTCCTTATAAATAAGTTTTCACTTCGTTTAGCAATGAGAAAAGAAAARAATTGCCAATGTATAAAGAGGTCAGGAGTGTGAACTGCTGCTGCCATCTGGAGTACAGAGACTGCCGCTGACAAGTATCAAACTAAAGCCTCCCACCTACAGAAATGGGTGTGTTTGAGCTCCTCTACCTCTGGACTGGACTGTAAAGGAGACACAGTGCATTTCCTAGCCTTTCTGCTGCCCTTTTATCTTTGGACACTTCAGACACCTGAGGATTAACGGAATTTCGTTGCCGTTCTGCTTCTGGCTTCCCCTAACGTCTCCCAGCCACACTGGGAGGCTGGAAATTCATATGCAGACTGGCAGCCAGCACTCGGCTCCTGTGGGAGGAGCTCGGGAAGCCGGATCTCCTCAGGGGCAGCCAGGGAGGGCCTGGAGCCGCAGCCTCCGTGCCAAGAGAGCCCGGCGAAGCAGCGGCCACAGCAAAGGCCAGCCATTGGCAGCTTCATGCTGTAGCACACAGCGCGCAGTCCCCAAAGCTTCTATGCCGGCAGCACCACGACGTGTTTATTATAATCTCTATTATTGCAACGCAGTTCTGGCTTGTAATACCAGCCAAAAAAAGCCTTCCCCCTCTCTCTCGAGAGAGAGCGGCTGCAGCCGCGGCTGCAGCAGCACCAACCGCCCCACTCCGGCTTGCACTGCTGCGGTAGCAGCCACAGCCCGCGCACTCCCTCAGCGTTGCCGTTAACGGCCGCCTCCCGCTGCGCGCGGCGGGGCGGGGCGGGGCGGGGCGGGGCGGGTCTCCCCACGCATGCGCACAGGGGCGCGCCCGCGCCGCGCCTGCGCCCTTCTCGTGCTCCTCCCGCTTCTTAGGCAGCGCAGTGCCGGGCGCGCAGCCCCGCCCTTCGGCGTGGTCACGTGAGCAGCGCGGGCGGCGCGGGGCTGCGGGCGGGGGCCCGGCGGTCCCGGGGTTCCCGCGGGGCGCGGCCGTTGGCGGCGGCCGTTGGCGGCGGCCGTTGGCGCGGCCGTTGGCGCGGGGCGGGTGGGGGAAGCGCCCTTCTCGGCCGCCGCGCAAGGCGGGGGCCGGAGCCGCAGCCCTTCCTGCCGCTGCCTGGTGGAAGGCAACGCGCAGCGTCCCGGCCTGAGGTGGGTTCTCCTCGTTGAGGTACCGGAGTCGTTGCCGCAGCTTGCGGCTCTGGAGCCGGCGGCGGCGGAGCGGGTGGTAGCGCCGTGGCGTCGCGCGGCCGCACCGGCTGTTGGCCGTGTTTGTGGTGCGTTTGGATTACGGCAGCCGTCCCCGAGCCGCGGGGCTCTGCGGTACCCCCCGCTCAGGTAGTTGATGCCTCCTTGCCCCAGCCCCGCGGGGTTATGTGGCAGGGATGAGGTGAACGGCAGCCGGGCACCGTCGCCCCAGGGCGCTCATTGCCCTGTGCGTGCAGGGTCGTGTCTTGTAGCAACCCAGGAGGCACGAAGCTCGGTACAACCATAGGGGTCCATGGACAGAAGCCAATGTGGGATGTAATTCCTGGCTCCTTTACTGATCGGACATGCCTCTCCTGAAAACTGGACTGTCTTGTTTGAAAAAATGAGCGACTGCTGATCTTTGAAGAAACAAACTTCACATATCTCTCTGTTTTTCCTTTTATTATAAATATGGCTTGTATTGCCTGTTTTGTAACCGTTTTTGTTCTTTTCCAGAGGACAAGAAATTAGTCTAGATGCAGTAAATAAGGAAGAAGTCAGAAGACATGGAGGAAAGGAAAATCAAGAGGAGGAGCCCCAAGTCTTCCACTGCTCACCCTGCTCAGGTTGCCAACTCCAAGAAGAGCTCGGTGCCCGTCAGTAAAAGCACGGCCTTCTCAAACCCTGCGCCACAGCCTGCAGTGCAGAAACCAAAGCTGAAACGGTAAGTGTGGGGGCAGCCCGCAAGCCCCATGCCGGGGCAGCAACCTGCCAGTGCAGGACAGGCTCTTGGATCCAAAGGGACTGGGCCACACGGAATGAAAAGAAAGAAATCCAGATTTTTTTTAACAAATTTGTTCAGCAGAAATAAAAGCTGTTTGATATATGTGTACTCACCTCATAAGYTGTGTAGTACGTTACACAACGTGCACCTCTACTGATAAAGATTTGGCAGRGGCAGTTAGTGAAGAGCAGGACTGTGATCAAACGCAGCAGAGTCGGTCACCRTAAAACGGCAGGGAGAAGAGCCCTGTGTGTAGAGCCGTAAGGATTGAGTGCAGCCTGACTGCCAGGCTGGAGCTGCGCACAAGGGGGACAGAAAATCAAGGACATGAATTTGAATGGGATGAGCTAGAATGGGATTTTAGAATGAGATTTCGTCCCATTTGAATGGGATGAGCTAGAATAGGTTTTTGGAGCTCAGGTGGTTTTTGTTTGGGGAGCTATCACTGAGGGCAGCAGGAGCTTCTAGACGTCCTCATGCAGAAAGTGGCGTTCAGCTCTTCAAAACGTAATACTTTCAAGTAGTTTGCACATCATGAATGCTTCATTTGAGTTTGAGGACATTAATTTTCATGCATGTAGGAAACTATTTCTTGACTGTGGCAGAAAAAAAAAAGACAAAGGAGCGGAGAGGGGTTTGCATGTGAGCTGATAGCTGGAGAGACAGCTGAGTTACTGCCCTGTGAGTAACAGCTGAAGATTAAACATTGAACTGTCCCTGTAAGCACTGACAGACTGTTGGAAAGACCCAGTGCCAGCAGGATGGCAGCACTGTGCGTAACCGCACTGTAAAGTCTTTGTCTTCTACTTTTGAGGGAAAAATGCATTAATATTTTGAGGAAATATTGGAAAGTTTACTTAGGACTACAAGCTCATTGGAAAGTTTACTTAGGACTACAAAATATTCTTGAATTTGCCACAAGATTATTTCTTGTAGCCTGCAGTGTAGTCTAGAGAGGAAAATAGCCTTGCTTTGCAAAAAACTTTTTGCTTTGAATTTTGGAAATGGACTAGAGTCAGAAGGATTTATTTTCACTTTCTCTACATTCTTGTGTGTCACAGACTTCAAAATACTGACAAGGATACTTAAACTTTATATTTCATTTAAAAATAAAGTTATAAGGATACATTCTCAGTTAAATGGTAATTTATATATATATGTATGTATATAAAATCAGTTTAAACTGTAAGAAGTTTCTGGGAGTGGTAATATATTGAATTAAACGGCTATATGAATGGGCAAGTCAGGGATGGAAGAAACGTCCTTTGTCCACATCTGGTACTAGGTTTGGATGCAGCCTTGCAGTCCAGCCCTGGATGGCCTGTAGAGCTAGAGTGCGGTAATCCTTGCTGGTAATTATGTGCTTTGTTGCTGCATTGGCTGCATGTTCCTTTGGGTTTGTAATGACTATTCTGTTTTATACACRTAGTTTCCATGAACACATGCTACTYTCCATAAACTTYGCTACGTTTTGAAAAAATGTCTCCAGGATCTAGGAATTCTGATGGTTTTGTTACCATAGGGTGTCACAGAGATTTTTTTCCTCTATTTGTTCTATAGTTCTGTTTGCCCTATGTTGCTATATGGGGAGGAGGTTGTTTTTGGTGGTAGCTTAGCAGAATTTGGAGGCTGTTTGAAGGTGAGACCCCTCTGCGGGCAAGGCGTCTTCTCCATTGTGTGGGCTCTAGTGGATGGTTTTCCATGCCCGTTGCAGAGCAGATTGGCCTGTGACAGCGGGAGTGTAGGAGCTGTGAGGGGTTTTCTCTCRGGACTGAAGGGAGTTTCTTGTGCTAGTTGGCTGGTGTTTGAATATGTCAAGTGCTCACACCCCCTTAGTCCTTGCTAGGTAGTGGTCCTTGGTGCATTATTAAGGGGCTGTTCTCTCCTCAGAGCTGCTACTGATAGGAAAGCAGACTGCTGGAATCCCTCCTTTTTGCAGTGTCAAACGGTCAAGATAGTGATACTGTTCTTTGTATTTAAGACAAACTTGTGATGCATTTTTTAAACGTAAAGGTAGTAATTAAAATAACCATCTTATATTTTCCATTTCATTTCTAAGAGTCATCCTAAATTTTAACTTTTCCATAAAAAACAGGAAGTAATGTTTTGTTTTGTTCAATGATTCAATTTCTTCAGAGTAATAAAAGAAAAGGCCAAACCTCCTGGAGGGGAACCCAAAGGAGCGCAGGCAGCGCCCATCCAGCATTCTTTCCTCACCGATGTATCAGATGTCCAAGAAATGGAAAGGGGGCTTCTCAGTCTCCTGAATGACTTCCACTCTGGCAAACTCCAAGCATTTGGTAAATACCTGCATTGTCTTTATGTAGCAGTTGCTTTTATGGCTGTGTGATTGCAATTTTGCACACGAATAATGCAGTATGGACAGATGAGCAGTTGGGCACCTCAGTCTCTATGTGAAACTAGGTGTAATCCAGTAGATCTGACGGCAGTTCTAAATGGTAACTCTGCTAAGTGGGAGCTCGGCTTCCATGTGAACTGGTTCAGGCACCGTTTCCTTGTGCCCTCCAGCCACCCCAGCTCACCTAGGACAGTACCTTGCCTTGCCAGAGTGACTCCAAGTGACTTCTTGGGGCTTAGAATCATGTATTTTTTTTAATATTGTAGGTGATCTACAGTAGATGGAAGTTTAAAAAAAAAAGCTGTGGGATTCTGTTGCTGTTTTTTTCCCCTCCTCTGCACTCTTTAGAAAGATTTGTCTATATTTTTGCAAGCGTAGAGATAGCTCAGCATGTCACATTAGCTCATTTGATTGTGCAAAAGAAGCTGAAAGCTTCTCTGTCATAGAAGGTGTCAGAAGAGAGAACCCCCAAGGAATAATCCAAGTAGGAGGTAGATTTATTATGGTCACACCTACATTTAAAAATACAGGATCTTCCTAACTTGAGACAAATTCAGCCCTGTATACCRAAAAAATTAGTGTCATACAATTGGTGGTTATCATTAAATGGAGCACATTTAGTCTCAGATGGGTGGACAGAAACCTCAGTTGAGAAGGAGGATGAAATCACGCAGATAGTAAAGCTGCTCTTCAGCTCTGTCCGGTCAGTTTAAGTTGTAAGAAGTTTTTGTCTGTCATGTAGAGCTCTGACTTGGCCCCTTCGCCTGCCCCTTCAGTTTTCCTTCCCTAAAGCTGCTGGTGGGTCTGTTTGCCGGTGCCTTTCAGGAAACGAGTGCTCCATAGAGCAGATGGAGCACGTGCGGAGCATGCAGGAGAAGCTGGCCCGGCTCAACCTGGAGCTCTACGGGGAGCTGGAGGAACTCCCTGAAGACAAAAGAAAACTGGCCAGCGACTCCAACTTGGATAGGCTACTCTCGGATGTAAGTAATGGGAATGCTCAAAGGCAGGGAACTCTGTCCCCAGAACTGGGCTTGGGAAGACAGCTGGTGGGTGCTTCAGCCTCCTTTCGGTGGAATTTACAGTTGAGGAAAAGGTAGCTCCATCACCAGCCTTAGTTGCTTCATACTGGTTTGGAGTAAACGCAGCACCCTGTATTTTCTTTCCTTGCAGCCTGCTGCTTATTGTGGGGATTATCAGCCTTACGTATAGGGGAGACTGCCCCTAACCAGGAATTTTGGGGTTCTAGATATGCAGTTTCTCATTTYCTTCAGGTGTTATTTCTGTAAACAACAAAATTGTTCAAATTTCTTTAAATTTCCCGAGATACTTGGATTTAATTTGGTACATAATTGCTACTGTAGAATTCAGTGCAAGTCTGCTTTGCTTTTTGTAATTAAAGAGATATTTCTATTCAAGCCAACAGTCATTAGATTTTATCTCACCATTTTAATATGTTTATTTCAACATGTTAGCAAATTGTTGCCTATATTTGACTAACCTAAATAACATTTCTGATCCTGTCTACATTTGTATTACAGCTGGAAGAACTGAATTCATCTATGTATCCTTTTTCTTCAATGACTATTTTGCATTATAATTGCCAGTTATATTTAGTCAGTAACTGTGTCTTCATGGGAGTCAAATCCTTTCRACAATATCACTTATTTAGTACTCTAAGTTTAGTACTCACGGACTTTAAGATTTTTTCCAACATATAAATGGCTGGATCTTAATAAATTTAGAAACAGGCCGGTTTTCATGGGGCAGTGTATTTAGCTGGTACAGCACTTCAGACAACTTGTTGACAGTGGGTGGCAGAACCCATGAGAAGCAAATTTTCTGTAAATATATTTTGCTGAGGAAACTGAGGCGAGCATACGTAGCAGTCCTCCCCCTTGGCATCGGCATTGTTCTGTGCCAGCAATAAATGCCTCCTTCCTCTCCATGAGGACGGTTGGCTTCCGAGGTAGCTSCATGTCCCAGACTAGTTCTTCTCCAACAGCCGGGCTGCTCATAGAGCAGCAGGTCCGAGTGCAGCCCTGTGGAAGTTCTGCTCCTTAACGGTTTGCTCCAGACAAAAGCTGCATTTAGCAGATGCTCAAGATATTCCAAATGGTACCACAGGCTGAAAGCTGCTGATCTCTTTGGGATTCTCCCAGAAACTTTACTACTGTTTTTCTTACCATGGAATCTAGAGTTGTTATTTGACACAACAAAGAATCAAAGTGCAAATTCAGGTGTTTATTTTTACACGTTCCTCTTTGAGCGCAGCATTATGTGAGGACTCACTACCTAGAGATCTAATTATGTTGCTGTGATGCTGAGCTTTATATTACTGCCTTATTTAATAGGAAAAACTGTGGGGAAAAAAACATGGAAGTACACTTCTGCTTGGTGTTCTTCATATGTTTGAAGAGAGGTATGTATAGAAGTTCACTCGTCTTTCCCAGGTTGGGTCAAGGKAGCAGGGGCGCTGCCTTTCTGATCGATACGTAGACAATCTGCACACTGTCTCCAGTGTGTCTTGCTGACCAGTGATGCTACTGAGTTTATATTAATTTATTAATAAGAGACACTTTAAGTACATGGTGTGCTTTACTTAGAGGAGTTGCTATCTCTTCAGCTGTGTTAAGATGTGACCTCTTGCATGGTCTGAATGTTTGCATTGACTCTTCCACTGCTCTGAATAACTGTAAAACGTCACTAAATCAGAACTCTCTTGGAGTCTAGCAGTCCACAGCATTGGATTGTGAAAAATGCCAAACTGGATAAATGCAGTTCCTGTTCAATAAACCCTGTGTAAACAGATTTTCTCACTTTCTYTATTTTATGCAAAACATCTATTACATCAGTAAATTTTCTTTTAGTTATTCCAAGGGTAGGAGTGGGAAGAACCACACAGTAGAGGCCACGTGCTTTTGCTCATGGATTCCTGCTCGCGTAGCAGTGTATTTGTTTCAGTAAGTTGTTGATGGACTGAACGTTCATAAATCAGGCTGCCAACGAGCAAGCACAAATTTGCCCTGTCGCAGTGAGGGATAAAAAAAGAGCTGCTAAACTAAAGTGCTGGCATTAGCAGCCACTCCTGTGCTGTAAGTAATCCGGTATAAATTAGTTTTGTGTTAACAACCACAGAGGGGAAAAAATCTATATTAGTACAAACCCTGACTATTTTGGATTTGGGTTTCAGCATTTGTGCATCAAAATAGGCATTTGGAACAAGATTTATTTTATATGCAGCTTTTAAATAGCACATTCAGATTACCTTCTGTGTATCCTTTCTTTACAAGGAGTGGAATCTTTATCCTGCTTCAGGGCGAAGCTCTCATCATGTGTCCGGTCAGCGCAGGGGCTAAAAGATGCCACGTGGGAGAAGAAGCTTCTTCAGGTGGGAGCCAGAGCCCTGTGCTCCTTGAGATCCAGCTCCTTTTGGAAAACACAGAGCCCCAAGTCTGCCCCTGGGAGCAGGTCCCAAAAGGAGCATTTGAACAGCGGAGTGCCCTGGTTCCAGCTTCAGCCTCACACACTCCACCTGCCTCAGCTACCAGGCCCAGGGCAGGAGTTAAGCGGTGGGAGCCCAGGCTCTTCCTTTGGGACATTCTCATTCTTTGAATGACCGTCTCCTTCCTTTGGGAGCTTCTCTAGGGCTCTTATGTGCCAACAAAATAGCATGGAGTTCCCCAGCTGCTGCTGGAGGCATTGCCAGAGTGTTGTGAAAGCCAAAGGGAACTTTGGAGAGGTAGAGAGAAGGGTCGTACTGCTCTCAAAATAGAGATAATTTCATAAGGTGATGGTGCCAGAAATGCTTGCTTTTCTTAAAGATACRTAACAGTGATAGTTCTGCTCTGGAGCATCTCTAGGCATACGAAGGAGAAGGTGTTGAGGAGCAGTCAGCA